CCTCTGCAGCAGCAGCCAGGGGAGGATTAAGAATGCTGGGCTTCTCCCTGGTCTAGCAAAGAGCACTGTGTGCATCTGACATCCAGAAGGAAGTTCATACCAGATCAGATTGTCATCTGTGGGCAGGACATCCCTTACCTGAAGCCCTCTGTCCCACCACCCTCCTACCTTGATGCAGTTACTGCTTCTAATATTTGCCCCCAACTAAAGCACAGGCTAGGGAGAAAGTCATTTCCTGCCGCCGAAGCCTCCCTTCTGTTCCCCTAAGCCAAGTCCATCTCTCCTGTTAGGCAGTGGTTGATTTTTCAGAAGTAGATCACTAGGCCTTTCTTCTGAGATGCCTCTGGGTAGACTTGAACCTCCAACTTTTTGGCTAGCAGATGAATGCTTAACTGTTTGCACCACCCAGGGACTGCCAATTAACTTATACTAGGGCTTGTCTTGGGCTTTGGTCTACTGTGGAATTCTTTGACTTTCCCATCATTAACCACATAAATAACAATTAAGCAGAAAGATGTATCTGGCTCTGCCCAAAGCCCAGGCCCATGTATAGTTAGGTACACTCAGTTCTGAGCCAACTCTCAAGAATACCAGGAGACACTGTATATTCCCATGTATGGCATACAAACATGGGACAAAAATTTTTTTAATAAAAAATGACAATAAGGTTACAACTATGTCAATATACATATTTACACAATATCATATCAATACCTACTATTGTGGCAGGATGTAGATGTAGTTTGGGGAGGAAAATAAAAGTACATTTATTGCTGGGTGAAGGAAAGGAGAATTGCTGTGCAGCATGAACTGAAGAAGGAAGCTTGTGTACATTTTCACTGGCCTTGGACTGAGGCTAACTTCAGGTCAAATCGCAGCTCCTTTCCTGAGCTTGTGACCAAATCTTACTCTTCTTATCTGTAAGAAATGATAATAGCTAACTTGTGTGGTTGTTCTGGGGTTGTAAGTAACCTGTAGAGTGAAAACTATTATAACTTTGTTAAAGGGTGGTGAGAAAAAAAAGTAGAGAAAAAGGACAACGGTGGTTGTTGTTAGGTGCTGTCCAGTCAGTTCTGACTCATGTGCACTGTAATATAACTAATGTGCACTATCTCTGCTCAAAATGTTTTAATATACGTTCCCCACCCCCAAACCTAACAAAACCTGTTGCTGATGAGTAGATTCCAACTCATGGTGTCCCCATACGTTACAGAGTAAAACTGCTCCATAGGGTTTTCTTGTTGTCTGTAATCTCTAGGGAAACAGATCTCCAGTGGGTGGGTTCAAATTGCCAATCTTTAGGTTAGTAAACCAAACCAAATCAAATCCGTTGCCATGACTCATAGCGACCCTATAGGACTGAGTAGAACTGCTCAATAGGGTTTCCAAGGCTGCAGTCTTTATGGGGGAAAAAAAAAACCCATTGCCATCGAGTCGATTTTGACTCTGAGCGAACTTATAGACAGCTGTTCCTTGGAAACCCTACGGAGCAGTTCTCTGTCCTACAGGGTTGCTATGAGTTGGAATTGACTTGACAGCAAAGGGTCCGGTGAAAAAACTCATTGCCATCAAGTCAATTCCGACTCATAGCGACCCTATAGGACAGAGGAGAACTGCCCCACAAGGTTTCTAAGTAGCAGCTGGTGGATTCAAACTGCTGACCTTTTGGTTAGCAGCCAAGCTCTTAACCACTGTGCCTTTAGGTTAGCAGTGGAGCACAAACCCTTTGAGCCACGCAATGACCTCATCCTCTCTCCATTTCCCCCAAAATCCCCTTAACTAAAAGATAAAATGAGCCCAGAAGCCAAATAAAAATGCTAGGAAAAGTTAAAACGGAAACGTAAATGTAAGATACTGGGTAAAAGAACCAAAGGCTATCTGAAAAGAGAAGACAAGCAATTCTGGGGAGGTGGCTTTGGATTATCTCTCCTAGAATAAGCCTCCTCCTGCTTATTTCATATTTCAGAACATATCCAGTTGAAGTTCCAAAAGCAGAGGTGGTCACCTGGGAAGCCTTCTCATTCACCCGGTGTAAGCCTATTCCATGTTCTGCACAAAGCCACATTTAGCAGATAGCATCAGCAGCTCGCAGTAGAAAATAAGAGCATTACCTAACCTCTACCTCTGAAGGTTGGGGACTATCCTTCCCAGTCACTCTTCAGTTTTAGGGGGTTCCACCTCAGGGACAGCTGACAGCCTTATGTAGCCAACCAGCTACTCTGTGATACACAATGTCCCAGATGCTCAAGGTCTAGCAGGGAATTCTTTTGCATTTGTGTAAGCAGCAGTTGGAGAATTGATCAGTCCCTTTGGTAGCCTGAGAGTGTCAAGGCTGCCATTCAAATCAATACCACCATAATAATTAGCCATTGTTTTAGTGAGATGTCTGCCAAACAAATGTTTTTCTTTATTTTTAACCATTAAAAAAAAAAAATTAACCAGAGCAATGCTTAAGTAACATCAACACATTTATTAAACTCCTCTGTTTGCCTAGTTCAATGGAAAGTCTTCGAGGAAGGAATACTCAAGTTGCTGTCTCTGATTTTAAAGAATCGATGTTGTAGGGAAGCGCGGTTCACAGAAAAACAATTACAGGGAAAAGCTATATGGTATATAATACGCTGCTACAGTGGGTGAGAGAGATGTGGCATTTGTTTCCTGAATTTTATTACTGTTAGGCTAGGGTGCAATGGAGGAGACGCCCTGTGTAGATGATTTGGAGAAGTGGTAGGTTGTGGTGGGAAGTTATTCTTTTCCAGCTTGTAAGAGAAAAACAAACAAAGGAGTGCAACCCATTAGAGCAGCCACCAGAGCCTAATTTTCTGGTAAGAGAATTCATCATTTAGGATAAACGTTAAAGGTAGTTTTAAAAGGACTTTTGCTTCAGGATGAATGATGTGGCCGATGCAATTTAGTGAGACATTCAAAGGCCTTGTCCACAAAGTGGCTTGGAGCCACGTTTTGAACCCGTATTTCAAGCATGCTGATCCCAAACACTGCGAAGACGGCTGTTTACGGCTGACCAGGCTCGTTGCTGCTGCTGGAAGGGATGTCTTGGATATGCTTATTAACCTGTTTGCGACAATGCCTGATCGCTCCTGGGCCTTCAGTGTTAACCCTATCTAAAAATGTTACCACCAGGGGTGGAACTTGCATAACCCTGTTCAGAAAATGAAAACAGTAAAGAAGAAAGACAGGGCAGAGAAACGCGTCGCCAACAAAGGGAGGCTGGGCAGAAGAACTGGGGAGCACGCCGAGCGCGCCCTAGAGGCGAGCCAATGGAAGGGCCTTGCGGGCCGGGACCAGGCACCTTCCGAGTCCTCGGCTTGGCGCCCTCGGGGATCCCTGAACGCAAGCGAAGTGTGGAGACGCCCCCACGCGGGTGTGGACGAGGCGGCTGCACCTCCAGGGGAACTCGCGGAGGTGAGCGGCGAGGAGGCCGCGCGTGGACCTGGGAAAGGAGACACGCGAGGGCTGTGCCGGGGCTGCGCGCTCTGGCTGAGGGGTGCCGGGGCCGAGGGGTGGGGGCATCCCCCCGGCATGAGACTGTGACATGCGAACTAGAAAGGGAAGAGTGGAGGCGGGACCGAGGGCCGAGGCCGAGCGCTAGGCGGTAAAGAACTGCCGGAGGGGCGGGCGCAGCGAGGTCTCGGTGAGCGTGGGCGCAGACGCTCGGCATCCCGAGGCTGAGTGGTGCCGGCGTGGGGGACGTTGGCCCTGGGGAGTGGTGGGTGCGGCGGGGCGTGACCAGGAAGCCCGGTGCACCACCACCGCGGAGCAGACTCTGAGCCTTGGCAGAGCGGGCGGGAGTCGTGACTAAGCCCAACAGCGGGTAGGGCGCTGCGTCCACAGCCGCGGGGGGGAGGGGGGAGGCGGGGGCGAGTGCGCGTGCGCGTCTCGCGCGGGCGGGGAATCTGGCGGGGGACGGCGGGAGAGCGCGCGCGCGCCTGGGCAGCCTTCGCGGCCAGTACTGCTTGTGACAGGCGGCGGCAGACAGGGCGCGGAAAGCGCGGCGACTCCCCGGCGGGCGCGGAGATGTGGCCTCTCGTGGGGGCGCTGCTGCTGGGTTCGGCGTGCTGCGGTGAGTGGCCCCTGGCTCCCGGCCCCACGGCTCGTCTCTCGCCGCCCTCGCCGGCATACGGGCTGCGTCCCGGCCCGGCGGCGCCCGGAGAGGGTGGCTGGAGCTGGACGCGCGGGCCCTGGTGCAGACGTGGGAGGGCCCACGGGTAGTCGGGCGCGCCGACTCCTTCTTCTCGCCCTTCTTTATCCTCGGCTGAGTGAGGAGCGGGGCTCATCTGCTTCATCGTGTTCTCGGCCCCCGGATGCACACGCTGAGGAAGACTCCAAACTGTACACTTCGCTCAGAAATCAACTAACGCAGAGGGAGGGCGCGATCGGAGGCAAGGGGGTGGCTGCAGTCAGGGTCTCCCTGCATTTGGCGCCCCTCTCTCTTCTCTGTGCTTAGAAGTCTAGGGGTGAAGGCGGGAGCGTGGGAGGGCCCGGGCCTCTGGTGATGGAGGTGCGCATTCGGGAGAAGTCGGCACGAGGGGTTTCTGCTGTTTGATCTCCCATAGGAACATAGCGAAGGGAACTTTAAAGGGCACGAATAACTTGCATATTCAACCCAGCATTTAATCAGAGGAATCTTCTGCTCCCCCTTAAACCCTAGAAATAAGCTTCCTCGAAACTCTTTTTCGAGACCCCCACACCCCATCAACCACTTTAATCTATTCCAAATTGTACGTTCAAGTTTTTCCACTTTGTTTGGTGACTTGTTTAAAATATTCCAGATTTCGCCTGCAATATGAAGACAGGAACCTCTAGTCAAAACACATTTGCAGCGGAGTGGGATGTGGTGTCTTTCGACAGCAAAGGCATTTTATCCACCCGCCCCCCTTCTTTTGGAATCCATTTCGCTTTTTTTAAATGTGTGTTTCATCTTTAAAGAATAATGAAGGAATTGGAATTTTCGTGGCTCCACAGTGTGTCACAGTTCACATTTGTATGTTGACCCTTCTGTGAACTCTTTGTAAGGTTCAGAATTCAGATTGAGTAATAGTTGTTACATTAGTTCTAGAATACTAGGTTAATTTGATTCTAAGCTGATTATTAGCCTCAGTGTGCTGTTCATAAACGCTTGTGACTTTGAGATATTTCCAAGATGCCCTCGAGTCCTTAGGTACCACCTTCCCCACCCTTACCCACAAGCATCCTGAGATGTTGGAGCTGTTAATAATCAAGATTTCTGTTCTAAAGGGTTGGTATTAGGTGGTATTTCCTGTCATCATGGCTAGTGTGCTTCTGCCATCATCATTATAGCTAAAATAATACTTCTTTCAGATGCCTGTTGTATAATCAGAAGACTTTCATATTGAGATTATAAATTCCTAATAAAATATCACTAATTCAGAGTGTTGGCGTCAAAGCTAGGCTGAATAGTAAAAAGTATAAATCATGAACTGTTTTAAAAGTGGGAACCCTATTTTAAAGTGTATTAGAACTGCTGCAGTAGAACTTTTGGGGATAGGAGTTCTGTTAGGCTTCCTTTAATAAAAGTAAGATCATGTAAAATTAGCTCTCATTTACATACAATGTTAATGTGCTCAAATCCCTGTAGAGTCGTAGAATTCAGAATTTATGGTATTTTATTGTACTTAGTAAATACTAACCTGAAAAAACAAAGGCGTTACACATCTGAGTTCTGCTCAGTGTTGAATATAAAATAGGAAGTGATAGTGTTGTTACAAGATAAATGGATATTTTCCTGTGTTTAATATGTATCTTCAAAAGGACAAGAATCGAGATGTTAGTCTCAGAACACAAGTAGTTATAACCAGAGGATTTTGGAGACTGAACTTAGAATCTAGAATGAGAAAGAAATACATTTGTAAATTCATTTGCATTGAAGTTTGTGTTTGGTTTCAGTTTCACACATGAAGTAGGGCGTTTCCTGGTTAACACTACGGTTTCAGTGACCTTTTTAGTAAAAGAAGTTGTTATCTGAAATACCATGTCCATATAATTACAGGCAAACTGCAACCCAGTTTATTTATTTAAAAGATGTGGAATGAATTACTGTGCCCTCCCACCCATATGTCCAATTACACTTTGTTTAAAATCGCATCAGCGATTTCAGAGTTTTTCACTAGCTGGTGAGTAACACTTTAAATAAATGATTTATTTAGTGATATGAACTGCCTTTTCAGTGGTTGGTTTTTCTTTGTTCAAAGTGAGTTTTTAAAATTAGAGTACACATGATTTAAAAAAACACCTTTATTGTCGAAGTTTAGTAGTGATTTGGCTTGCTTAAATGAAAATGTTTTCTCCTAAAGAATATGTTACTTTTAAACACAAGTTGCCATGTTAAGGAAATAAATGCCAATTTAAAAGTACTTATTTATGGGGCCGCCCCAGCAGTCTAGAAACACTGTGTTAAAGTATTGCACTAAATGCCTGCTGTTAGGGTACTCGCTCACGCTGTGGTCTGTGTTTTGGCACGTGTTATCTTTGCTACAGAGTTGTTAATGGAGAGTTGAGAGGCCAGGTTCTAAAGATGAAAAAATATGTGCCCCCCCAATTGATAAATATTCTAAATCCAAAATAATCACTCATATTACCAAAAGTAAGTTTACATTCCTTAATTTAGCTATAGCTAATGTAGACATGCATTGATTTCATAAATTAATGTTCTTTTTGTGATACTAATTTTCAGACTACCATTTTTAACCAACTTTTTGTTTTTTTCTGTCATAGCTTTATACAAAATAAAAATTTCTCTATTTTTATGTCTTATATCTCAGTCTAATATAATGCACTTTGGGTTATCATAAAGCTGTTTTCACTTTGTGTACTAGTACAGATATTTCCTCTATGATGAAAGAAGGAGAATAATAGTAGAGAACCAGTTTTACTAACTTACAGTAGTCTGCAGTAAACAATGCAGAGCACCGGGAAGTTTGATTCTGATATACCTAGACTAAGACAATGGAACCTGGATTTTCCCTCTGTGGTTTCATGGAGTTGAGGCAGGAAATTAGAAGCTACACCCTTTTCTGAATATTTCATTTCAAATCCATGGAGCAGTTGCAGAAGACTCTAAAACTGGTCACCCAGGATTTGAGAGATTAGGAGAATGTACATATTTGAATACATATCAAACCTATAGATTAAAAGGCAAGGCAAAGGGTTTGATATGTACAAAAAACAAAACAAAACAAAACTCACTGCTGTCAAGTTGATTCTGACTCATAGCGACCCTTTAGGACAGAGTAGAACTGCCCCATAGGGTTTCCAAGTCTGTAATCTTTATGGAAACCGACTACCACATCTCTCTCCCGTGGAGCAGCTGGTGGGTTCCAACCACCGACCTTTTGGTTAGCGGCCAAGTGCTTAACCACTGTGCCACCAGTGCTCCTTGTAGGCCTCTTAACAACTTAAAATGTAGTTCATAGAGAGTTGTTGTATGCTGTCGAGTTGATTCTGACTCCTAGTGACCCTATAGGACAGAGTAGAACAGCCCCATGGAAATTCTTAAGCTTCCATGGTGGTGCAGTGGTTAAGACCTCGGCTGCTAACCAAATGGTTGGCAGTTCAAATCCACCAGCTGCTCCTTGGTAATCCTATAAGGCAGTCCTACTCAGTCCTGTAGGGTCGCTGTGAGTCGGAATTGACTCGACGGGAATGGATTTGGTGTTGATTTTAATGTTTACAGGAGCAGATCACCAGGTCTTTTCTCTTGCGAAGCAGCTGGTGGGTTCGAACCGCCGACGTTTTGGTTAGCAGCCCAGTGCTTAACTATTATGCCATCAAGGCTGCTTTCATACAAAGTAGGGACCTTTTTTTTATTTTTTTTTTTAATTTCTCTTAGCTCCTATTAAGTACTAGGAGTCCCTAGGTGCCACAAATGGTTAAGTGCCTGCTAGTAACATAAAAATTGGTGGTTTGTACACATCCAAAGGTGCCTCAGAAGGAAAGCCTGGTGATCTGCTTCTGAAAGGTCACGGCCTTGAAAACCCTATGAAGCTCACAGTTCTATTCTGCAACACATAGGGTCACTATGAATTGGAATCAACTTGACAGTAACTGTTTTTGTTTTGTTTTCTGTTGGTAGTACTTAATATATTGTAAGTGCTTGATAAGGTTATAATTCTGGCTATTGCTTACTTTAACCTGCCTTCACCCCTGTAGTTCTAGGTCTGACCACTTTCATTTTTAAAAGACCACTTTTAAATCCGTTGGAGGTATTGCTTTAAGGTTCAGAGACATACAACTTGTGAAAGCCCCACTTTACCTTAGACCTTTGTTTATTTTCGTCTCCATTGAGGAGAGAGCTGACTAGACTCTCCCTTTTGTCCCTAATTCTAACTTGATTCAGGTTGAGACTCCAGTTCTTCATGCCAGAGGCTTGGTCTGATGGTAGAAACTGGTAGGATTCATTTCTGGCTGGCATCTTTACTTATGGGCTTGATTCATTTGCACTAGTGGTTGGTGGGGCTTCTTACCCCATTCCTGAACACTCATTCTGAGCAGATAATAATACTTCCTACTCTACTGAAAAAAATAGTGGTGTGAACTCCCTCAACTTCCCTCCCACCATTTCTAAATTTATCTGTGATACCTTAGGCAATATTCATCTCATCCTCTTCCATCAGACAGTTTCAGAAGAGTGCCCATTCGCCTTTCCAAGGCAAGGACAACCTGTGTACTACAGCTCTTTCACTTCTGCCTTCTTGGAGACCTGCCCAGGATAATCCTTCAGTCTTGTATCTTTAATCTTTTCCTCTCCATTGTCTACTTCCTCTTAGCTTGCAGACGTACTCAGGTTTTACCCGTGTTAAAGAAAACAAACAACGAAAAACAAAGAACCTTAGCTTTGTCCCTGCTTCCATACTCCCAGTTACTGCCTTCTCTCTCTGTTTTCTTACAGTCTAATTTACTGAAAGATAACTGCCTCTACTTTCTTCCTTCTCTTTCACTTCCAGATGCAGTCTGACTTCTGATTGCACTGTTCTGTTGGCATTGCTGCAGATAAACTAGTGATGTTACAGTTTTCAATCCAGAGGTCATTTTCACTCATTTCAGTTAATATCTGTTTATCCCTATTAAGACACCACCCTTGTTATCTGCTGTATCACACCTTGCTAGTTCTGTTTCTCTGGCCTTTTCTCACTTCCCTGGCTTTTTCCCTGTCATGGATTGAATTATGTCCCCCCAAAAATGTGTGTATCAATTTGGCTAGATCATGATTCCCAGTATTGTATGATTGTCTACCTTTTGTCATCTGATGTGATTTCCCTATGTGTTGTATTTTCTGTCACTATGATGTAATAAGATGGATTAGTGGCCATTATACTGATGAGGTCTACAAGATTAGATAGTGTCTTAAGCCAATCTCTTTTGAGATATAAAAGAGAGAAGCAAGCAGAGAGACGGGGAACCTCATACCACCAAGAAAGCAGTGCTGGGAGCACAGCGCCTCCTTTGGAACTGAGGTTCCTGTGCTGAGATGCTCCCAAACCAAGGGAAGACTGATGCATCACAAGGACCGTCCTTCAGAGCCAATAGAGAGAGAAAGCCTTCCCTTGGAGCTGACACCCTGAATCTGGATGTCTAGCCTACTAGACTGTGAGAGAATAAATTTCTCTTTGTTAAAGCCATCCATTTGTGGTATTTCTGTTATAGCAGCACTAGATAACCCAGATATTCTCCTTTAATTGTTTGCTCCATAGATATTGGTGTTCCCCAAGATTTTATTTTCTGCCTTCTCTGTTTGCTTTACAAGGTGCCTCTGGGTGATTTTATATTTGTTCACGGTTTCCATTACCAGCTGTGTTTTTGGTGATTCCTAAGTTCTTATAGCTCTATCCTGGGCTCTGCTGGACATCGCCATTTCATTTTACCATAAGTACTTAAATACTCAGCCTGTTAGATATTGAAAGAATATGACTCCCAAATTCCCTAAATCTCCTTTCTTTATAGTTATCTGCAGTCTTAACTAGTTACATGTGCTATTTTGGATAGCAACTTTAATTCTTCTCTCTTCTCCCTCATCTCTCACATCTGACTCCTGTTGATTTTACGTCTTCAGTTTTTACTGTAAATTTTAGTGCTTCTCTCCAGTGACCGTTTACCTGGACTATTGCAGTAGTCTCTAAATGGGTCTCCTTTTCTCATTTCCCTTCCTGCCATCAATGCATCCTCCATACTTCTATCAATGCTACTTTTTAAAAATGCAAATCTAAGTAGTTTGCTATTGCATGTGAAGGACAGGGCAATAAGAAGTTCATGTTCACCTCATTAAACATAATTAAATCTGTGTGAGGTATATGCTATTACTGTTCACATTTTATAGATGAAGAAGCTTAGGTACAGAGGCTAAGTAACTTAGGTAGAGAGGCTAAGTAACTTAGGTACAGAGGCTAAGTAACTTGCCTAAGGTTTCAACCAGGAGTACTTGAGCTGAGATTGAGCCCGAGGCTGGCTCCAAAGTTTGTGCTCTTGCCTCCTACACACTGTCACCAGTGAAGGGTATAGACCTCTTTAGGCAGGGGGAGCAGCATGTGCAGAGCTGTGGGCATGAGAGAGCATTTGCATATTCATGATAATTGTAAGAAAGTCATTGTGACTGGTGTTTAGTTTGGAAATGGGGGAGTACAGGAGATGCGGCTGCAAAAGGTCTTGAAGGACTTAGTTTATATTCCACGATAATGCACTTAGAATTTAGCCTGAAAGGGGAGGAAGGTGTTGTTAAAGTATATTAGGCAAACGAGTCTGCATTTGCAATTAGAACAGTTATTTTGGGAACTGTGGAAAATATATCGGGGCCGGATGGGGAAACATTGAGGCTAGAGGCAGGGCACCAGTTAGGATGGCATGACAGTAGTTTGCACAGGAGAAAAATGAGTGTGTTCGTTCACTCAACCGATACTGGATTTAAGAACTGTTAAATAGGTTGAGCCAGGATTCTCCATGGTTAGGGAGAGGGAGGAATCCAGCAAGATTCCTAGGTTCCAGGTCTGGCTGATTGGTAGATATAGAAAATATTTTGGGGAGGTGAGGATCTTGGAGGAGGGTAGGGAGACATGAGTAGAGCTTTGGACATGTTGTGCTTGAAGTAACTAGCACATTCAAGCAGACAGTGGCTTACAAAGGTCTGTAAGAAAAGTGGGGCCTAGTTAAGGAAAAAAGTGTGAGTAGTTAAACCATGGGGGTAAGAATACTGGGGGGTGGAGGGTGCTGAATATGAAGCTGTTAGGAACACTAACATTTAGTGTGAGTCAACAAATAAATTTCAATAAAGAAAGGAAATGAGTGGAATAGACCAAGCAGTAAGAGGAAATTCAGAATCAAGTGATATGACGGTGGCCGAGGAATAAGAGCAATAAAGGAGCTGCCTACTGGGTCAAGAAGTGCAGAGAAGTCAAGCAGGATAGAAAGTGAGCAGTGCATATAGGACTCTCCCCATGACGTTATTGGTGACTTTGGCAAAAGCTGTCACTGTGAAGAAGTAGGATTGGAGGAGGTGGAAGCCGGGAGGCAGAGGTTTAAGGAGGTGATAAGATGCGTATAGAGTATTATTTTGGGATGCTGGGTTTTCTTTTTTTTAAGCTAGTGAAGATTGAAGTTTTTTTTTTAAACTAAGGTTTAAAAACAAAACCGTAGAAGATGGAAAGATTGCAAATAGGGGGATGTGAAAGCTAATAATCAACTAAGGAAAATTCCTGAGGAAATTGATGGGTGTGGACGCAGAAATGGAAATTAGCTTACAGGTGAAGGAGTTCATTTCTGAAGAGGGGGAAATGGGAGAAGAGATGTGGATGGTTGAGATTGTAGGGAAGTTTATAGGTGGGGAGTATAGGAAACTGCTGACTTCTTATCTGAAGGGTGCAGTTTTGAATTAAAAGGAGGAGAGGGCTCTTTTGGAGAGTATGGGATACCGGGAAAAAGGAAAGTGATTTTAAGAGTTGCTAAAATGAAGAGAAAAGTTACATGGAACATGTAAAAGGTAAAAGATTGAAGGCCTGGATGGGGCAGGGATTACAAGTCATCTTCTGTTGTTCCCCCAGTAGCAACACAAATTTTCTTAGTAATCTGTAAGACTGATTACTCTTTTGCCCATAAATAGCTCTTCGTTCATACAGGAAAGATAGCACTTAGGACCTTGTATTCTAAAAACTGTCATTCCTCCAGTGAGAATTGTAAGCTGCTAAAAAGTAATTCCTACTTTTTATTTTCACCATTGTATCCCCACATCCTATCACAGTGTTTCATATGGAGTAATTCTTCAACAAATGTTTGTTGCATGTTTTACTTCTGAGCTGGATGTGTCTTCCATGACTGCCAAGTATTTAGCCTTTTCTGCAGCTAGAAGAAAAAACATGTTGCCGTTGAGTCGATTCCAACTCATAGTGACCCTATAGGATAGAGTAGAACTGCCCCATAGAGTTTCCAAGGAGTGCCTGGTGGATTCAAATTGCCGACCTTTTGGTTAGCAGCCATAGCTCTTAACCATTATGCCACCAGGGTTTCCTTTCTGCAGCTACCTGGCTGTTGACGGGACGTGGTTTGGGTTGGTGGTCTGTATTCACAGAGGTTTTAAAGGCCAATATTTTTGACATTTGATACAAAATAATTTTTCCATCTCATTTGCTAATTTATCTGTAACTGTGGCCTTACCGTTGGTTAAATTTATCAATTCTTATCTGATGTAGACTGCTTTAAGCATATCTTGAGTATTCAGAATTTTCTTATTCATGTTAATTATCCATGTTCCTTTATTTGCTTTTTATATTTTTGATCTTTTCTTCATTTGCAGTTTCATCAGAAGGCAGTAGGCACAAGGAAAAAAAAAACCCAAATCAGATAATTTTACTACTTACTAGTTGTTTATCAGTGTTCATAGAGGATGAAGTTACAGGTAACAACTGGAGTGACATTTCTGGACCACCCTTATTTATTAATTACTAGTGTAAGGATTGTTCCAATTACCGTTATCCAGGTCAATTTTACTTTGAATTTTATTGGCAGCATTTATACTACTTAAATTGCTTCAGCTGTAAAAATTCTTTATTACAAGAAGTAATTCAGCGCAATTAGTGCTTCCCGCATTCCTTTGAAAATTCATTCCCTAGAGATAAGTTATGAAATTGTGGGGTGTTTGCAGACAACTTCTTACTTAACCTAGAACCTTCTAAAAAGTAAAGTTCAAATGGATAACTGAGCTCTTATATCTTTTTTATTAAAGGATAATTTCTTGAAAGGTAAAATCATGACTCATATAAATATAAAATGAACATGTCAAAGATTTTATTTTATTCAGTAAGGAGTGAACCAGTAATATGGTAAAACCCTTTCAGAAGAAAATTAGAAGAACAGATGCATTTATAGGCAATCAGGAATGCTGAAATGAATTTACTAATAGATGTAAAACTGGTCAATATTCTCAGGGCAGTAAAACGTCATGTTTTGGAATCATGTCTTTGACAGTGTGGACATCAGTTGCAGAACAGAATTTACTTGCATCTCTGTGGACACGAATCATTTGCATTACCTTCAATTTTCTACAAGTTACAGAATTGTAAAATAGTCTAGTCAAAAACAGTGAAAGGTACAGACACCTATAGAATCAGATAGTCCCATAGGGTCTGTTAGACAAGGCCCAGCATTCCATTGAAAGGACACCCAGTAATCTTTTTGTCCATTGCAAAAATATTTCACCATACTGAAACTTTCCATCCTTTCTAATTCCAGCATCATAACCCCTTTTCTCTTTCCTTGTTGTACACTACAGTTGCCCCTCAAGGCTTCTCTCCCAGGGGAAATAATTCCTGCTCAAGTCTAGAATTTAGTACAGACTACGAGTAATTCACAACTCCAAGGTTTTGGGAGAATGCAGTTGGAAGTTTAGGTTTTGCCTGGGGCTTTCTGAATATTTAAATGGTTAGAAATTTAGAGAACTGGGAAGAGGTAAGCTGTGGATACTCGCAAGATTGGTTCAGGGTTCAAATTACCAGAACTGTAACAATTTGGATCAGCCAGTCAGAGAAGATCCAGATCATTATATTAAAATACCTTATTGGCTAGTTTTTATAGTATCTCCCTATATTGTTATAACAGTATGTTTACAGAGCCCTTGTCCATATATTTTCTCCCTTGATGCTTCACCACAATTCTGTGTAGTGCACCAGTATTCCTTATTTATCCTCTTATTTACAGAGAGTAAACCCAGGCATAGAAAAGTTCACTGAGTTGCTTAAGGTCATATACCAGAGTGGCAGATAGAGGATTTGGATTCAGGCTTTCTGAACATTGTCCAGTTCACATTCTACTGTGCATCCCAGCACTCAATTCAGTGGGCATTTATTGAATAGCAGTTATGTTCCCAGAATAATAACATACTATGTCCTTAGTTCCCCCCCCATATGTAAAAAGGTAGAAATCTTAAAGGATGAATTATTAACAAAGTTGATATTTGTATATGTTGGTGCTTTGCTTTTTGAGGAAAAAGCTACCCCCACATTTCACTGAAACTACTGAGAAGTGATTTCCAAACACACATTGCAGGTATTCCTTCCTCCAAAAAACCATAAACCACTCAAAACTAAGAAACAAGTTGAAGCCAAGAACAGGCTCCTCTCCTAAGTAGGGTGTATGGTATCAGTTCTTCCTAATAGGATAAACTACTGTTTGTTGCCTTATAAAAGAGGGACTGGGAAAGTAAATGCAGCCAATCATCATTCATCTAAAATGTGCAAGGATGTGGAGAAACTGCAGTTGTCTTCCATATTCTTCAGGCATTAAAGGACCATTGATACAGATTTGTTATATTAGCTATTTTAGCTGTATAGTTAGTTGATTATATATATACCCCTTATAGCACTTGCATACAAAATGTCTGCTGCTGTCTGTTATTTTGCAGTGGGAAAACAGCCACCACTAAAAACCAAACCCACTGCTGTCCAGTCAATTCCGACTCATAACGACCCTACAGAGTATGCTTTTTCTTGTTAACATTCTCAGACTTCCATCCCAGTGGAAAGATGTGATGTCATTCATCTGATTAAGTATGGGAAAACTTGCCAATTTTTTGGAAGAATAGCATAAGAATAGAGATAAACTTCATATCAGATTTAGCAAGTTCTGTTTAGAGGAGGTATATAGAAGTTGAGACCAAATATAATATTTATGTTGATTTTCTGTTCAAAATTTTCTGATGGCAAGGTTAATACTTTTCTTTGTGTATCAGTGGGCAGTTATGATTACTTCAAAACTTCCAAAGCCAGATACTACACCTGTGTTTTCAACACAGTGCCTGAATTTGTTCCCAAGATGCATGCTAACGTATACTTTGTATTACTGAGGATGAGTGAAAAAAAGCTGTAGTATTGTCTACCAGCTGTGCGCATTGATGTGAAAATAATTTTTCTGTTTTTCACCTTGCCTGTCTTGTCTTCTGTATTGCTGCATTGCTTACTTATGTGAACAATGGAAGCATTACCCATTATCTTAAGGATATGTGGCATACCTAAAATCTCACAGTATAGAATTCTAGAAGTGATCTTATAGTATAGAATTCTAGAAGTTAAATACTTCTATTTTTCTTTTCCAGGTTCAGCTCAGATAACATTTAACATAACCAAATCTGCAGAATTCACCGTTTGCAATACAACTGTTGTCATCCCATGCTTTGCCACTAACGTAGAAACGAAACTGCTTACAGATCTGTATGTAAAGTGGAAATTTAAAGGAAAAGACATTTTTACCTATGATGGAGCTCAAGGTCAGTCTTCTACTCCTAGCAGTGGTTTTAAGAGTGCAAAAATCACACCGACAGAATTACTACATGGAATTGCCTCTTTGAAGATGAAAAAGAGTGACGCTGAACTTGGGAACTACACGTGTGAAGTAACAGAATTAACCAGAGAAGGCGAAACAGTCATAGAACTAAAATACCGTGTTGGTAAGACTTGTCTAAAAGCTTCCTTTTTATTCTGTAGCAACCTGATCCTACTGGAAAGGAGGCAAAATGGAGCTAGGAACTCCTTTGAATCAAAAAGCAGGCTGTTAATAATAAATGTTGATGTAATGTTTAGCAGCTCTAAGATCATGAGTTTTCTTGTTTGCTCTCCTACTTTTCACAGTAAAACTCATTTGCTGTTTGTTAATTTGTATATTGTGTGATTCTCAAACTTTTAGTCTGAGGCTGTTCTGTTGTGGTTTATGGCCCTGCATCATCTGCCCTGCATTTCTGTGTGCTTTCACTACATTAATTTTGGAGCCTCTTCAGTTAGTTAGCTTTTTTTTTCCCCCCAACCTTGCACTTCGATCAAGGGTTGGCAAGTCTCAGCTATGCTCCCTCTGGAAAGAATGGATTAGAAGGAGAATCGTGTTTAAAGATTGAAGTATCATGGAAGATTCCTTGAGGTTTCCTGAGCTTCGCCTTGCCTTGGTATTCTTTCCCGTGGCCAAGATGTTGGAGAGCTAGGGGTCCAGTTTAATTTCTTTGAATGCATGCTTGGTTATAGCACCATGATTCTGTCCTCTCTTCACAAGCTGTGATTGGTGAGTCATATAAAGCAGTAAGGTTAGCTGAAGTAAACAGCTTCCATTCTTTTCTATTTTTTCGGTGCTAGCTGATTTCTTCAACCAGATACAAGTGCATCCTGACTTTCTATTTTGGAAGCTCTATTTTGAATTATCAGATACATCACACATCTTCGGATTAGACCATACTTTGAGAACCTCTGCTTTAGATGGGATCAGAACAGTTCAATTGGATCAACTGTTTGCCTTCTCTTGTAGCATTAATTTACTGTTATAAAATGTCTGGAACCAGATTGGGAATGAGGTGTTTGGTTTGATGAAATATTTTTACACTTTTTAGGATTGGTAATCAGGAGATCTGAATTATGTTCCCTATTCTGCAACTTAGTATTCACCTGTATGACTTTGAGAAGTTACTTCACTGAGTTCAAGTTACTTCTTTAAAATGGAAATGCTTTTTTGTAGTCTACAGAGGCTAATGAGCATCAAATGAGATCCCTTGGTGTAAAAGTTCATTGTAAAGCACGGTGCTTTGCAAATGTTAGTTGTTTTCTTGGAATGTTTTATTTATGAAGTAAGGTTTCTAAAGCTGGCCTGGGATGTTGTGAGAGGGATCGTATGCAGTGAGGAATGGGCAGAACATGGCTCAGATAGGCGAGGAGAATTTGGAAGGCTTTTCTGCTCAGAATTCTCTCTTACATTCTAATTTTTAGTAGTTTGATATTAATTTGGGCTGAATTATTTGTTTAGTTAACATATACCCTCAACCCACCCACTGCCTTTGAGTTGATTCTGACGCAGAGTGACCCTATAGGACAGAGTAGGTTTTCCAAACCCCACAGGGTTTCCAAGGCCGTAATCTTTACAGAAGCAGACTGCCACATCTTTCTCCCACGATATATCTTTTAGGAGATGTCTAATCAGTCGGTTCATGCACACTGAATTACTGAAATTAGGTAATCGATACCTGGTTGGAGCCCTAGTGGTGCAGTGGTTCAGAGCTTGGCCGCTAACCAAAAGGTCAGCAGTTTGGATCTACCAGCTGCTCCTTGGAAACCCTATGGGGCAGTTCTACTCTGTCCTGTAGAGTTGCTATGAGTCGGAATCGACTCGACGGCAACAGGTTTGGTTTTTGGTTAATACCTAGTTGACATTTTTCTAAGGGAATGTGAAGTTTCATGAAAAGGAAGGAAAAAGACATGGGGAGCAGTAATTTTGGAATGTAATGTAGGTCATTAAGAGGTAAACACAAGATATGAGGCCTGAAAGGCCAGAAGGTAAAATGAAGATGAATAGGAGAACAGTACCTGAATCTGAGGTAAAGACAAAGGATGTGTTTTTCTCTTTCTATGTTTTACGGTGCCCTATAAAACTATGAACTTTGCTTACTTTTTTGGGCCATTAAAATGGGAAAGTATTGTTTTGCTGTGGAAAACGTAGAAAATTTTCCCATGGGGTGTCAGATATTTGACTTTGCCCTCATTTTTATTAATTTATTTTTAGAAATATAGATTCTCACAAAGTTGCAAAGATAGAACAAAGAGATCCCATATACCCTTCACCCAGTTTCCTGCAATAGTTATATCTGTAACAGTAGTAAAATATCAAAAATAGGAAACTCACATTGATACAGTATATATGTATGGTTCTGTCATTTTATCACATGTATAGATTTGTATAACTACCATTATATTAAAGATAACTCATCTGTCATTACAGAGATCTCCCTTGTGCTACCCCCACACCCCCAGCCCTCCAAGTTTCTTCTCCATATCTATACTTTTGTCATTTCTAGAATGTTATATAAATGGAATTATACAGTGTGTTACCTTTTGAGAATGACTTTTTTTCATTCAGCATAATGCCGTTGATATCCATCCAGGTTGTAGTGTGTATCAGTAGTTTTTTTCTTTTTTATTACTGAATGGTATTCTGTCCACCACATGTCTGTCAGTTTGTCATACTGTGGTGGCTTGCGTATTGCTGCATTACTGGAAGCTTTGCCACAAGTACTTAAATACCAGCAGGGTCACCCTTGGTGGACAGGTTTCAGTGGCGCTTCCTTCCAGACTAAGACAAACTAGGAAGAAGGACCTGGCAGTCTACTTCTGAAAAAATTGGCCAGTGAAAACCTTGTGAAAAGCAACAGAACATTGTCTGATATAGTGCCAGAAGATGAGCCCCTCAGGCTGGAAGGCACTCAAAATATGACTGGGGAAGACCTGCCTCCTCAAAGTAGAATTGACCTTATGATGTCCAAACTGAACTGAAGGCGTTGGCGAAAAACACTAGGCTCCAGGAATTGATGGAATACCGATTGAGATGTTTCAGCAAACGGATACAGTGCTGGAGGTGCTCATTCGTCTATGTCAAGAAGTTTGGAAGACAGCTACCTGGCCACCCGACTGGAAGAGATCCATATTTGTACCCATTCCAAAGAAAGGTGATCCAGCAGAAGGCAGAAATTATGAGACAGTATCATTAATACCACATTCAAGTAAAATTTTGCTGAAGATCATTTGTAAGCAGTTGCAGTAGTACATCAACAGGGAACGCCAGAAATTCAAGCTGGATTCAGAAGAGGTCTTAGAACAAGGGCTGTCATTGCTGATGTCAGGTGGATCTCCTGGCTGAAAGCACAGAATACCAGAAAGATGTTTACCTGTGTTTTATTGATTATGGAAAGGCATTCAGCTGTGTGGATTATAACAAATTATGGGTAACATTGCGAAGAATGGGAATTCCAGAACACTTAACTGTGCTCATAAGGAACATGTGCTTAGACCAAGAGGCAGTCATTCCAACAGAACAAGGGGATACTGTGTGGTTTAAAGTCAAGAAAGTTGTATCAAGGTTGTATCCTTTCACCATACCTAACTCAGTCTGTATGCTGAGCAAATAATCCAAGAAGCTGGACTATATGAAGAAGAATGTGGCATCAGGATTGGAAGAAGACTCATCAGCAACCTGCAATATGCAAATGACACAACCTTGCTTGCTGAATGCGCAGAGGAAGCACTTACTGATGAAGATCAAAGACTCCAGCCTTTAGTATGGATTACACCTGAACATAAAGCAGAAATCCTTACAACTGGACTAATAAGCAACATCCTGATAAATGGAGAAAATATTGAAGTTGTCAAGGGTTTCCTTTTACTTGGATCCATAATCAGTGCCCATGGAAGCAGCAGTCAGGAAATCAAAGGACACATTGTATTAGGCAAATCTGCAGCGAAAGGTCTCTTTAAAATGTTGCAAAGCAAAGATGTCACTTTAAGGACTAAGGTGTGCCTAACCGAAGCCAGGGTGTTTTCAGTCACCTCATATGCATGTGAAAGCTGTACAGTGAATAAGGAAAACCAAAGAAGAGTTGATGCCTTTGAATTATGGTATGGCGAAGAACATTGAATATAACATGGACTATCAGAAGAACAAACAAATCTGTCTTGGGAGAAGTACAGCCAGGATGCTCATTAGAAGCAAGGATGACGAGACTTCATCTCACATACTTTGGACGTGTTGTCAGGAGGGATCAGTCCCTGGAGTGGGACATCATGGTTGGTAGAGTAGAGAGTCAGCCAAAAAGAGGAAGACCCTCAACGAGGTGGTTTGACACAGTGGCTGCAACAAGGGGCTCAAGCATAGCAACGATTGTTAGGATGGTGCAGGACCGGGTGGTGTTTCATTCTGTTGTATATAGGGTCGCTATGAGTCAAAACCGACTCATCGGCACCTAACAACAACAGTACTCCATGGAATGGTTGTACCACAGTTTATTTAACCATTCACCTATTGTAGGACATTTTGTTTCCAGTTTTTTACTATTAAAAAAATACCTGCAATGTTCAATTGTGTACAGATTTCTGTGTGGACATAGTTATCATTTCTCTGAGAGATAATGCCTAGGAGTACAATAGCTAGATTGTATGGTAAGTATGTGTTTAGTTTTTTAAAAAACTGCCAAGCTGTTTTCCAGAGTGGCTGTTTATTTTACATTTCCATCAGCAATGCATGAGTGATCCAGTTTCTCCACATCCTCACCAGTATCTGATCGTGTAACCATTTTGACTGAAAATAAAATCTGTTCTTCTACGCAAAAAGATTAAATGGGACACTTTCTTTAAAAGCTGGAAATAGAAATACCATATGATCCAGCAATCCCACTCCTAGGAACATATCCGAGAGAAATAAGCCATCATACGAATAGACACATGCACACTCATGTTCATTGCAGCACTGTTCACAATAGCAAAAAGATAGAAACAACCTAAATGCCCATCAACAGATAAATGGATAAACAAATTATGGTATATACACACAATGGAATACTGTGCAACGATAAAGAACTATGATGAATCCATGAAACATCTTGCAACATGAGTGAATCTGAAGGACATTATGTTGAGTGAAATAAGT